ATTTACATTTGATTAAATATTTTTTACTATAATTTATGAACAAAATATTGCAGAAAAAATTTTATCTACCTAACGGGTGAATTTAATTTGCAAAAAAGTAAATTTGAAGTGTAATACCTGTATAATATAAATATATATATTTACATATACTTACACGTATATATACACCATATGTAGATGTGTGTCTATATATGTATGTATATATATATGCATATGCATAGGTTCGTTGCACCAAGCAAAAACCGTCGTCACTTTACGAGAGATCACGAATTTTGTCACGATTTATTTGATAATATAAAAAAAAAATGTTTGTTAATTTGAAAAAACAAAAAAACGTTTCTCCTAGATAATTAGAACGACTTTTTTATGGGTAAAAATTGATTTACAACTGTTAAACGAAATTAAATAAAGGTACGTGAGAGCGAGAGCAAAACAGAGAGAGAGAGAGAAAAATAAACAGAGAATGAAAGAAAGTTACCTAACAAATGGATGAAAAAAAAGAGACGGAAAGAGAGAGAGAGAAAGAAATAGGGAGCGTGAATGATAATTCACGTGTATACGCGAGCGTGAAGGGTGCGTGTAATGCATGTACGAGCGCGTGTGCGTGTGGGTAAATGTCAAAAGAGACTTCAAAAAAGGGAGAATAAAAATTTTTATTATAGTTAAAAATAAAAATAAAACAACAAAACAGATAAGAGAAATACAAGGAACAAAAAAAACTAGAAGCAAGAAGGAAATAAAAAGAGAGAAAGATTCGAATTCGCGTAGGCGGCGTAAAGAAAAAAATAAGGGAGAGAGTAAGAATAAAAATAAATAAATAAATAAAAGTAAAAATAAAAATAAAAAAAAACAATATAATATTATTGAGTGGTACGAACAGAACTGTGATATTTTATTGTATAAATTTGCGGAAAAGATGATGAATTAATATGACGAAAAAGCCTCCGGGGAGAATTATAATACTAAATGTAGATGCGGAATATTGTATTTTACGAAGAAGTGCATCCTTAAGTCATATTAAAAAAAAAAAAAAAGAAAAGAAAAAAAAAATTAAGAAAATACGCAATTTAACGAAATACGCGTACCGAGTGTTCCCGAAAAAAAAAAGAGAAAATCGTGCTATCAAATTAACGAAACGAAACGAAAGAGAAGAAAATAAATAATATAATACTAATAATAATAATAATTAATGAAAATAAAAGAGAAAAACGTGTGAAAATGAATTCATATTAATATTTATTATACTATATCTTCTTTTTCTTCTACCAAAGTATTGACTTTTAAGGAGAGCATTTGGTTTCTTTCGAGCCAATAGCAGCGTCCTGGTGTTTAATCGTTTTTCCTGTTTATAAAGTATATATACATATATATATATATATATATATATATATATATATATATATATGTATAAACGAAAGATAAGAAAGGGAGGAAGAGAGAGAGAAAGAGAGAGAGAAAGAGAGAGAGAGAATGAAAAATGAGAGATTTCTTTGCAAATGAAAACATATTGAACGATTTTAAATGCGACAAGTAACTATTTAGTGTAAGTATACTTATACTATGTCTGTAAACTCTCTTTGAAAAAAAAAAAATTTTCGCGCCATCTACCGATCTCGTTCCAAGCAACCCCCTTCCTTCAACCAACCCTCGTACACTTTCCCTTGCCTCCTTTACGCACTTCACCCCTTCCCCCCCCCCCATCCTCAACCTCAAACATTAACGCGACATTAGACGCATGCCATTTTCGCTGAAGAAAATAAGACTTTCCAGAATTCGCGAAGCAATATGATTTCGCATGAAGGATTTTCTCAGACGACTTAAGGCACGCCACAAAATCCGTCGATTCGAGCACATAATAAATATTACGCGAATGCATGAAAACGAATGTATGAACGAAGAATAAAAATAAAAATAAAAAAGAGAGAAAGAAACAATAAAATATTAAACGAACGAACGAACGAAAGAGTGTAAAGAAGAAACAGAACGCATTTGTAAAATATATATATATATGTTTGTGTGTGTGTGTGTGTGTGTATATATATATATATATATATATATATGCGTGTTATATGTGTATATGTGAGGAAAGAGAGAGAAAGAACACGCGCAAGTATTACAAAAAGTTAAGCATTATTTATATATGTAATATAAAAGAGACAGAACGAGAAAGAGGGAGAGAAAGAGAAAGAGAGATTGGGAAACGAAGATAAAAAATAAACGTTAGATATAAAAAAAAATTCTACCGATTTTTCGACGACTTCGCAATAATATATGGACAACTTACGATTAGTTAGAAAATCTTTTGTGTTAATACGTTATTAATAATTAATTATAAAAACCCAAAAAAAAGTGAAATTAATATATCGAGGATCGTCGAAAGATCGGTAGTTATAGCCGAAAAAATCGAAGAAAAATCTATTCCGCGCACTCACACACACATACAACATACACACACACTCTCGTATTATTCTTCTATTTGTATGACGCGAAACTCGTCTCTTTGAATGCCGTTTCGGTAGTCGTGTAAAAATTAATATTTTCATGAATCAATAATTTCGAATCCTTTCGACAAAAAAGGAGAAACGAGATGAGAGTGTATGTACAGTAAGATTGTAAAAAAAAGAAAGAAAGAAAGAAAGTAAACACGATGAACGAAAGAAAAAAGAAATGAAAACAAAGTAAAAGAAAATATAAAATAGACAGAAAAGAAAAAAATTAATGAAAGATCACCGAAAAATTTCCTATACGACACATACGATATATACAACGAAGCGGCGATCATCGTTCGATGTTTTAGGAGCGGAGCGTCGTGTTCATCGCTTAAAAAAATTAAACCATAACCCCCTTCCCGCCCACTCCCACTCTCCTCCTCTTCCTCCTCTCCAAGCCAGACCCTGTCTCCTAGAATAAAGTATACCTTTTTAAAAAGTAAAAAGAAAAAAAATACTAAAAACAAACACAAAACGAGCACGACACAACGTACAAATCCGGCGAGAAATGGGAGAGCGTTCACCCCCTCACCCCGCGCTAGAAATTCGCATGCGCGCGCTAGAACAATTCTCCCCTTTTAATTGTTTCAAAAATAATACAAATATGAATCGCAAATAGAATATCACCTTTTTGAAAATCATCTGTCTGTCTGTCTGTCCGTCTTTTTGTTCTTTATGCGGGATCACTTTTTCCTTCGTACATGAATAAACGAATAAAAAAGATATAGGGACGAAAAAAAAAAGAGAGAAAGTGTGTGAATCGCGCGTTTGCGAATTTCATTTAAATTTTCGTCGAACTTTTGTAACGTCTCGCGAACTCTGCGACGCCGAAAGAAGAAAAAAAATAGAAAATAGAAAGAAAGAAAAAAAAATATGCTCTATTTGTCTTTCTCTGTCTCGTGCGTTCTCTTTCTCCTTTCTTCATCTTCCTTTTTCTTTCTTACTCTCTCTCTCTCTCTCTCTCTCTCACTCTCTCTCTCTCTCCCTCTCTCTGTCTCTCTCTCTCTATCTCTTCTGTCAGTCTGTCTGTCTATAAATATATAAAAAAATCTCTTTTTCCAAAATTTATTAATATTAGAAAATAATAAAGATCGTTTGGTCGTTGACGATATTTGGAGTACGATTCTCGAAGAATCGTAAAGCAGCAATAAAATACGATGACCGATGAGAGAAATATACATATAGTATAATTCGAAACTATTATTATACCTTTTTTTTAAGGGTTTAAAGTCATTGTAGGCGGACCAGGATAGACGTAATATCGAGTTACGCGTCGCAGAGTTTGCCGATCCACAAATATCGATCCATTGTATTTATAAAAGGATTTTCAAAGTTTTTTCTGATTATCTCAAATTCTCTACGATCCCCTATCATCATTATCATCATCATCATCATCATTATCATCATCATCATCATCATTATCATCATCATCATACACCTACGGCGACCTTGTAAGAAGGCATACCATTGGTTACACGCACCTACCCACCTATTTCCTACGACCACTTCCCTCATCCGATCCCATCCTCGTCCGTCCCTATCGTCGCCCCCACATCGACATTAACTGTTTGTCCTTTTTAACAAATATAACAAAACTTACATCTTACTAAAACGTGTGCGCATCGATTCGAGAAGTCAACGCAATTTTAATGTGCAATTTAATATATCCGCATTTATACTTTTTTCTTATTATACATTTTTACCTTACTAATAAGTTGCTAATTCTTCTTGCGTTGGCATCTTGTTTTTGGTGCGATTCTTTTTTCAAAACCCTCCGAGAGTCTTACAAAATGGCGCGGATCAAGAAAGAATCTCTGCTAATTTACATTTAAATTTAATTTTAATTTTAATTTTATAAATTTCTCTTCGAGAAAGCAGAAAGATTGATCAACATTTTATCTTAGAAGTAATTTACGATCTCGAGAATAAGAATTATACATACGAGACTACGAAAAATTTTTGCGTTTCAAAATTAAATATTATTTACAAGTAACCATCCTACAACACAGCATCTTATACCACGATTTCGCTATAACACAATTCATAAGTTGCGGGAAGCCTCTTACAGCACGGCATCCTATAACACGGTTTCCTTTCAAAAAACCTTTGTACAACACTGTACTTCTACAATCGCGGCGAGGCTTGCCGTCTTAAAGATACAGTGTTGCGGAAAGTATTTTTTTTCATCTTCATGGCCTTAAAACAAAGTCTCATACAACACGGTTTCACACAACACGGCATATTCTGGGAACCTATCTACCGTGTTATAGGAGGGTTACTTGTATTTCGAAATTAAGCTTTTCTTGTCCACCAGATGGCTGCATTAGCTGCAACGTTATGGTCTCGCCATCTATCTGTGAACTGTATAACCTCGGATCCAAATGATGTGAGTGAAGTAATCGACGCATTCCTCGTATGATAATTTAAAAAGAAAAAAGAAAATATTTTATTTATATATATATATATATATATATATATATATATCTACAAATCTAATAAGCCATTGATTCTGACTCATCCCAATCTCATTTGTTTGTGATTATTTCGATTGATGTTTCAACTCGTTGTCAAATGAATCATTCTAGTCAATGCTAATAAAAAAGAATCGTAGATTTGTTTGCTGGTGCGCATGTTTTTTTACATGGAAGATATGTCACAATCAGCTGATCAGATTAAAATGGAACGGTGGCAGGCATGTTAAGAACGATCGATTTTGTTGTCAGATAGCTGTCAATCGTAGATTTAAATATTTCTATCAAATTATGGATTAAATTCTGTTATATGTGCGTGATTTAAATAGTGGACGTTCGTAATGGCGTTTTTCGAGGTTAGTTTAGATATTTTAAGAAGAATTGTAAATTTTTCATTTATCAATAACCTCACTTTTACGTATGAAATACTTTATTATAAGAAAATATTTCCTTTTTTAGTGGCGCCGATTTAATTTCTTTGATCTTAAGAAAGAAGTTGATTCTGGAAAAATAACTAAAGCACTTGGGGTATGTTTAACAATCATATCAATTGTAATCATACCAAATTTTAATATATCAGAAAATATCTCCAAATTTTGATATTTTTTTATATTCTACAGGATGCACAAATTACTGCAGCAACCAGTGGCAATGGTCACTTGGTATTCGGAGATAATACTGGTAGCGTACACTTAGTTAATAGGACTTACGATGTTAATACTTTTCGTGCATATGAGATTACGTTAACCTTAGCACAGCAAGTTCAACATTCCACTTTTCTCTTCACTATTGGGGTTAGTAGTGTTTTTATTAAAAATATTCATTAATTCTTTTTAATTTGTTACTTCCTTTGATAGGAAGATGAACCTGGTTGTAATCCTACTATCAAAGTATGGAATTTAGCAAAGCCTGATAAACAAGGAAATCCAATCTGCGTTAGGATCAGTAGAGCTATTCCCAGTTACAGAGCAGTCCCGGTGACCACTTTACATGTACATACTAGTCTTTCTTTAATGGCTGTTGGTTTTGGAGATGGTTCGATAATGTTGTATAGGTAAAAGAAAAAATCATTTATTTTATGTAGTTTATATAACATTTGTTTGTAATGTGAAAATATTAAAAATTTAAATTTCTAGAGGTAACCTGACAAGAGAAAGAAAGAATAAGATCAAAGTTTTAAAAGATACTAACATTTCCATAACCGGTTTGGCCATAAGATCTACAGACAAGCAAATTTACATGTTTGTTGCAACAAATAATAATGTATTTATGTATAATATTACTTTAAAAGATAAAGAATACAAATCTGATTTGGACAGCATGGGCTGTGCAAAGAAATGCAGCGTTCTAGCTGAATCAATACAAGATAGTCATTTCATGATTGGACGTAACGATGTACGGTTTGCTAAACTTTCATTCTTTCTATGTATTTTAGTAAAAAACTAAATTAATTTAGAATTATGTATAGGCAATATACTGCTATACGCCTGATGGCAGAGGGCCATGCTACGCGGTTGAAGGGCAAAAGATAATGTTAGAATGGTTTAGAAGTTACTTAGTAATAGTAGCAAAAGAGGCAGCTAATGTTCTGAGAACAACTACGACTATATCAGCGAAGCCAAAGTATTTAGAATTTCAATATGATAGACTTCTATACAACACGTAACATTATATGAATATAATAAATTAATACTATTATACTCTTATTACAGTACTATTGAACCAATACCACCTGGTGTGGATAAACACTTGATTACGGTTCTCGACATTCAAAATAAATTTATTGTCTTTTCGGCATCTATGATATCAGTACAAGCTGTTCTATCAGAATGGGGTGGTTTTTTTATTCTTAGTGGAGATAGCAAATTGTATCATCTGGATGAAAAAGATTTGCAATCAAAGTTAGCATTACTTTTTAAAAAGAATCTATACGATGTTTCTATTAGGTAATATATTATTTATTATTATTATAATTCATAATTCAGGAAATTCTGTTTAATTGATTAGGAACATTTATACGTTTTTCTAGGATAGCAAAAAGTCAACAATATGATACGGAAGGTCTCGTAGATATATTTCGACAATACGGAGATCATTTATATTCGAAAAGTGATCACAATGGTGCTATAGAACAATATATTAAAACTATTGGAAAACTTGAACCATCTTATGTAATACGGAAATTCTTAGATTCGCAACACATAGATAACTTAAAAACTTATTTACAAGCGTTACATAAACATGGTCAAGCAACAGAAGATCATACTACATTGTTATTAAATTGCTATACAAAGCTAAATCACACGGATAAATTAAAAGAGTTTATTATGGTAAATAATATAACATAAGAATGTGAAAAAAATGTATTCGTGATTTATCACATTTTTATTAATTTTAGACGAAAGATCGAGGAGTTGATTTTGATGTTGAAATTGCAATTAAAGTTTGTCGTCAAGCGTCACCCGAGGATGCTTTATTGCTCGCACAAAAACATAATAAACATGAATGGTATTTACGAATTCAGATAGAAGATAAACGTGAATATAAAAAGGCATTGGAATATATAGAAACGTTAGAATTCGAAGAAGTATGAATTCTTTAACAATTATTTACTTTAATTTGATATACGTCATTGTAAGTATAGTGTAATAGAATGTTTAAATTTTTATAGGCAGAATCGAATATGAAAAAGTATGGAAATATACTCATAGAAAATGTACCAAATGAATCTACACAATTTTTAAAAGCTTTATGCACTAATTATAGACCTTCTAACAAACCACTCGTAGATCAGGTATTATCTATCGTACACTCGATGATCGTTTATAAATAAAAAATCATAATATATTATATTTTTTGTTCTTATAGAGCACATTGGACGGTAGTACGGACCATCATATCGACAAAGCAAATCCAGAAGATTTCATATATTTGTTCTTAAATAATTCAGCGCGTTTGGTTGAATTTTTAGAACATTTGATCAAATCTGAAAGCAAGTGGAGCACACTCGTATACAATACTTTAATAGAACATTATTTACATCTTTGGTCAGCCCAGGATAATCATGTAACAAAAATGCAATACGAACAAAAAATCCTTCGATTATTACAAAGTTCGGAAGCATCTTACGACAAAGATCAAATTTTGATTTTGTGCCATCAACATGATTTCCGTCGCGGATTATTATTTATTTATGAGGAAAATAAGTTGTATCAAGAAATATTAAGATTCCATTTGCAAAAAGGTGATAGTGAACAGGTATTGGCTACGTGTAAAAGATTTGGTCATCAAGATCCAAACTTATGGATTCAAGCGCTATGGAGTGTAGCTAAGAATAAAAATGTTTCTGCTAAACTTTTAGCTGATATTTTATCATATATAGGTAAAAATAAATTACATTAAAAAATATTATATCATATAATTAAAATAATGTTCATCGAGTTCATTAAATTTTTAGCACAAGAAAAGCTTTTATCACCCTTAATGGTAATCGATGCGATATCTACATCCCTATCTTGTACTCTTGGTGATGTACGAAATTATTTAAATAGCGTGTTACGATCAGAAAATGAACAAACACAGGCTGACGCCGAATTAGCAGAAAAATATCGTTTAGACACTTCTAATTTACGAAAACAAATAGAAACAATTAAAAGTAATACTATAATTTTTCAAGGTTCACGTTGTAGTGCTTGTCATCATCAATTAGAATTACCATCTGTACATTTCATGTGTCAACATTCATATCATCAGCAGTGAGTAAATAATATTACAAACGTTTTCAATTGTTTAGAAATAATTAAACTTTTATTTTTTCTTGCTATCAGTTGCTTTCAGAGTTTTTCCGAAAACGAAAATGAGTGTCCAGCTTGTTTACCAAATAATAAAAAATTATTGGATATTATAAGAGCGCAAGAGCAATCGAGAGATTTACACGAAACGTTTCACAGTTTATTGGATCGCGCAGAAGATCCATTTTCTTTGGTAGCCGACTACTTCGGTAGAGGTGTTTTCAAAAAATTAATGGTAATCACGGATACAGATAAATCATTGTCCCCTACGCCAGTACAAACCGAAGAGCAAAAATTAGTCTACCGACCTAATACAGAAGCAAAGATTAAACTAACAGAAAAGAAAAACACCAATGCGTCAGGTTAATTCATTATTACTATTTAGTAGAATAATTTTTCAAAATTTTCACTTGTTTAATATATTTGTATATTTCAGCTAAACCAGATTCTCGTTACTCAAGTCAAGACGGCTATTCGAATATTTCTAACTTGATTGGAGATGAACACATACGTTCATTTACGAAACCAGATGTTTATTCTTCTTCATTGGAAGTAAATATATCAGGGACGGGAAGCGGTATATCAACTCCTCGAGGAAATTCAAGAAAAGCTTCGCCTGTGCCCATAAGAGAAGCACGTATATTAAATAATATAACACCAAAATCATCTCCAATTCAGAAATTTTTCGTAGTACCGAAACCATCTACTGTACCAGTAAATCCTTTTAAAGTAGATGATTACGATGAATCGAAAAATCCATTTTCTGAGGATAAAGATGATGATGACAAAAATCCTTTTAAGGATGACGACGACGAAGATAATGATTACGACAAAAATTTAAATCCATTTGGCAGATAAATTATTTCCTTCCTTAATGAAACTGAAATGGAAGCAGTAAGTTGTAAGGGAAATAAAAATGTTCGTGCATAATACACTAATGCGTGTGGTGAAAGATTATCTGAAAATGATTTATTAAATGACCACACATAAAAAAAGCATATTTGCTCGTCCAAATATTAATTAATTACATTCAGTATTACTGAATGTAAGGCAATTTTTAGTCATAATTTTAATTTTAATATTTAAATACCAGTAAAAAATATTTAAACATTCATATTCGCATTTCATTTGAAAATATCACATTTAAAATGAATACAATGATCAATTATCGTTCATGAATTATGCTTATGTGTATTAATATTATTTCACTGTATATATATTGAAATATAAACTTTTTTACTCTAATATACATTTATAAATACACACAAACACACATACATACATACATACATACATACATACATACATACATACATACATACATACATACATACATACATACATACATACAAAGATACACAAATAACATTTAACATTATATACGATATTTATGTATATGGCTTAGAAAATAATAATTATTAAAATATATATATTTTATTTAGGAAAATATCTGTAGCCAATAGGTGCTACTTAATCTAAATGTCAAAGTAAAAAATATATAAATTATAATACTATTGCATATACAATAATAATCGCATATTTAAATACTATAATTACTCTGCCGAAAAAAAAGTAAGGATCGGATTATTCTTGATATGTGCATTTTTAAATTTGATTCCCATGATTAATTATCCATGCTATCTTTCCACTCGCATATTTTATTGCTAATCCGAAAAGCATTCCAATTTTCTGTAAGGTCAGAATGTCTTGATTTCACAAACATTGGAGTATAATATTCATCAACGGATTCTGGGATAAAAAAATCAGATAGTTTTGGTACAAGATCTCTTTGTCTTGGTTGTGGGTCTCTACTACGCATTATCTTACTCGGAAATTGTTTTTCGTCTATAGACAAATCGACTAAATTTTTATAAATAACTTCATTTACAGGAAAATCTAATGCACTTGAAATCTGTAAAACAAATAATTAATGTTTATTTATGTTAATAATTAATGTTTACAATAATTTACCTTTCCGTTAATTAGATCTTTGTACGTTGCAGGTAAATGTTCGATATCTGTTACTATTTTCTCTTTTTTAACTTCATCCAACTTATTAATGGTACACATAATCGAATTATACTGCGGATATGATAATTTTTCACTAGGAGTAACATTTGATCTTACATTCGTACTTTTATTTAATTGACGTACGTTGAAATCGATGTGCTTTTGCTTTGATATACTTGGTTCTATGTATGCTTTCGCATTAGATACTACGACATCTCGTAGGATAGATTTTTTAACAGGGGAACTTTTATTTTTAACCAAATTTTTATTATACTTGTAACATGGCATAACATTAATTGTACTAGATTTTGTACTCAAATTCTTTTGCGTATTTTTAGTAGAAATATCAGAAGTTTTTTTAATTTGTTTGTCAATACCTAAAGCATGTTTATTTACACTTCTTGTATAATGTTTTGTAACATCTGACTTTTGAGTATCGACTTTGGTAGAATCTGCTTTCTTTTTTATTTGAGTTGTCATTTTGGAATGTAAAGGTTTTATGATTGCTGTGTCTTTTCTTAATTGTGATGATCTTTTTGTACTTAAATTTTTATTTTCTTTTCCTTTATCAAAGCTAATCTTTGTCGATCGGTCAGAAATATTTATTTTCGTAGTATTTTTAGATTTAAGAACTTTACATCGATCGCTTTGATTTGTAACCTCAGGATACGTCGAACAAGGTATATCAGAAACATCTTCTTGTGAAAATCTTTCACAAATTACAGATGTCTTTTCTACATTATTAGCTTCTAGATTTATAGTTGAAAATTCTTTGTTATCTGTCTTACGAATTGATTGACCTTGTAAGAAATTATCATCTTCTTTTTGATGTGAAGTATGTATACCGCTGTGTGAAATTATTGATTCTTTCTTCTCTGCATCATTGTTAGAACATGTACTCATAGCAATTATATTATCAAATTTATTATGTAAACCTTTAAGTTTAACAGGTGTCTTGATGAGTCTATCATCTATGATTTTGGGTAAATGTTTATTCTTCTTATCTGCCAATTTTTTAGAATTTTCTTTAACGTTAATAGTCTGACTGAATCTAACTTTAGGCTTCGCAAACAATTTACTATCTTCAGACATTGTAATTCATAATAATGAATATACCGTAAAAATTAAGTAAAATTATTTTCAAAAGATGAATGAGAGTATCGAGCAATTTTCATTCAAAAATTAATTACAATGATTTAAATTGTTTTCAATGACAATGTCAAAACAAAAATTACAAAAATTTAAACAAAAATCCACAAAAGATAAAAATACCAACATCACTGTCTAATATTACACGATACGAAATTTTTAAGTACTTTTCTACCGCGTTATTAATTTTTTATATACTAAATTGTTTTCTTATCTGACCGTCAGATAGCGCTCGTAGAGCCGCATGGGGGGGGGGTTACCTTCCATCATTTTCCTTCAGCGCTTCGAAATTTGACGTCATTAAGATTCAATATCACGAAAATCAACACAAATAATTTGAATTGGTTGAACAGTACTTTTGAATAATGCAATGCCGCTTACAAAAGTGAAAGTTTTAACTTTGGAATGTAGTTTAGTTAGATATAACGTATTACTACAGCGTCAAGGAAAAAAAGTTTAATGTGGTTGTCAATTTGTCGGCGCTGCAGGTCGTCTGTCAGAATTTTACGTCGTTTTCCCTTTCGCCGCTCGATGTAAGCAGGTGTATTTTAACGGGTTGATTTAAGGTCGATACAGTGATATGTATTTCGAGGGTAGGCATTTCCTTATGACATGTATATACAAGAAGGAAAATGCAAATATTTGTGAATTTTCGTCATATTAACCTCCCAAGTTATACGCACAGAGTACGGTTTAATGTTGATCCAGTAAAGGCTAAGTGTTAATTCGCTTATTAACCACGTGAGGGGTTGGTGATGATGCAAAATAACTCAAAAACAAGAGAAATGTTTATCGTCAGAGCTTTGGAAAAAATCTTAGCTGACAAAGACGTCAAACGTTCCCATCTATCTCAGCTAAAGAGATCCTGCGAGTCGGCACTTGGTAATTTTATTTCTTTGTTCATAACATTTTTTGTTACATCTATGATTATATAAACAAATTAATTTTAAATTTGATTTATTTTTTATCATTTTCATCTAATTAATATCTCAGAGGATCTGCGCAATGAGATCAAAGATGTGCCCGTTGCACAAGGCGAAGAAACAACTTCAAACGCTCTCCCGCAGCCAAAAAGCGATTCCAATGTTATCTCAGCAGAGAAGTATTTTTTGCCCTTTGAATTGGCTTGCCAAAGTAAATCTCCAAGAATTGTTGTCACCGCGTTGGACTGTCTTCAGAAATTAATTGCATATGGTCATTTAACTGGAAATGTACCAGATTCTACAGAACCAAATAAGTTGTTGATCGTTCGTATAGTCGAGACAATATGTAGCTGTTTTATGGGTCCTCAAACTGATGAAGGCGTACAACTACAAATTATCAAGGCTCTTTTGACTGTCATGACCAGCCAACATGTTGAAGTACACGAAGGAACTGTTCTTCTTACCATACGTACTGTTTATAATGTTTACTTGGCATCGAGAAATTTAGTTAATCAAACAACAGCCCGAGCCACCCTGACACAGATGATAAATGTAATATTCGCTCGTATGGAAACTCAGGCGGTAAAGATTTCATTTATATCTATCGATAAATATTCTTATTTTCATAAAATATAGCTAATTTGATAAATAATATCATTAAATTATTAAATTTAAAATTAAAATAAAATCATTTAAATGGTTTTATATTTCAGGAAGAAGAGAACGTTAGAACAGAGTCAGAACAACAACAAGATACTTCTACTTCAAATGGCGACACAGAAACAGAAATTGTAAATAATGATGAAGCTCTAACTGAAAATGTCTGCGAATCGCATGTTATAGTTAAGAGCATCTTAGACGATGTTATTAATTCAGTCGTACCAGAAGATGCCGCGAATGTGGCAACTTCTGAAGAAGCCAGTTTAGATCAAGTGCCTGCTGAAGATAATACGGATGAAGCAGTTGCGGAGAGTGACAATATGGTTACAGCTAAATTTACTCATGTGTTACAGAAGGATGCATTTTTAGTGTTCAGGGCACTCTGCAAACTGTCGATGAAACCTCTCCCAGATGGTACCCCAGATCCAAAGTATAAACATAATTTATATATTTATTATATTCTTAAAAATATTTTCATAGAGCAATTAATAATTGTTATTTAATTATTTTTTAGGTCGCATGAATTAAGATCGAAAATTCTATCATTACAGTTGCTTTTAGGAATATTACAAAATGCTGGTCCAGTACTTCGTTCGAATGAGATGTTTGTAATTGCTATAAAACAATATCTGTGCGTCGCCTTGTCTAAAAATGGGGTTTCTTCTGTTCCTGAAGTATTCGAACTATCATTAGCTTTGTTTTTGGCACTCTTAGCTCGCTTTAAAGTGCACTTAAAGATGCAAATAGAAGTGTTTTTCAAGGAAATATTTATGAACATTCTTGAAACGTCTAGCAGTTCCTTTGAACATAAATGGATGGTTATCCATGCTTTGACTCGTATCTGTGCGGATGCGCAAAGTGTCGTTGATATATACGTAAACTATGATTGTGATCTTTCTGCAGCTAATTTATTTGAAAGGTAATTACTCATTTTATTCGTACGTAGTACTGTCAAAATATTATGGTAAAAATAATTTTTAATTTATCATTCATAGATTGGTAAACGATTTGTCCAAAATTGCGCAAGGACGTCAAGCTTTAGAGTTAGGTGCATCTCCGAATCAAGAAAAGTCGATGCGTATTCGTGGTCTCGAATGTTTGGTCTCAATTTTGAAATGTATGGTCGAATGGAGCAGAGATTTATATGTAAATCCAAGCGTACCTGCGGATCAACAATTGCCTAGTGAACCTCCCGATCCTCCCCTCGAACCACCTCTCCCTCGTTATGGAAGTGCCGGTAGTTTATCCTCTGCAAACTCTAGTCTCGTAGGAAATAAGGAAATACCAGATTCACCGGAACAATATGAAGTACAGAAACAACAAAAGGAAGTCTGGGAAGCTGGTATTGATATGTAAGTAAAATAATTTATATTAACACTGCTGAAAAAAAACAATAATTAATTAATTTAATAATATCGTGTAATTAACATTTAGTTTTAATCGGAAACCAAGTAAAGGAGTGCAATATTTACAAGAACATGGTCTTCTTGGTACATCCCCTGAAGATGTTGCAAGATGGCTTCATATAGATGAGCGATTGGATAAAACAGCGATTGGTGATTTTCTGGGTGATCATAATCATAATCAAGTAATGTATAATTATATAGATCAAATGAATTTTGCGGATCGCGACTTGGTCACAGCTCTCAGGTATTTCCTAGAGGGTTTTAGACTACCTGGCGAAGCACAAAAGATCGATCGTTTGATGGAAAAGTTCGCCAGTAGATATTGCGAATGTAATCCAAAGTAAGTAATAAATAAATAGCTTTTAATTTTCTATAATATATTAATGAACATTTTTTTATGTTTTAGCAACGGATTGTTTACAAGCGCAGATACCGCATATATATTAGGCTTTTCTATAATTATGCTTACGACTGATCTCCATTCTCCGCAAGTCAAAAATAAAATGACGAAAGAGCAGTATATCAAATTAAATCGTCGCATTAGTGATAACGAAGATCTGCCAGAAGAATATTTATCAAAAATTTATGATGAAATAGCTGGTAACGAAATCAAAATGAAATCAAATCCTAATCGTCCAGGGAAACAAGGTAAAAAATAATATCAATTTACATAAACATATTATATATACACAAATTAAATATCTAATAAATAATTTCATTTGACCAGTAATTTCAAGTGAAAAAAAACGTAGACTCCTATGGAATATGGAAATGGAAGTAATTTCAACTGCGGCAAAAAATTTAATGGAATCTGTTAGTCATGTTCAAGCACCATTTACAACAGCTAAACATTTAGAACACGTACGTCCTATGTTTAAAATGGCCTGGACACCCTTCTTAGCAGCTTTTAGCGTTGGATTACAAGATTGTGATGATCCTGAAATAGCATCCTTATGTTTGGATGGCATTAGATGTGCCATTCGTATAGCTTGTATTTTCCACATGACAGTAAGTACTCGTGCAGACATATTTTAAAAATATTAAATACTGATGTAGAAATACTAAATTATTTATTGTTCAATTTAGTTGGAACGTGACGCCTACGTTCAAGCTTTGGCTAGATTTACGCTTTTAACGGCCAATTCACCGATTACGGAAATGAAAGCAAAGAACATCGACACGATAAAGACATTGATCACCGTTGCTCACACCGATGGAAATTATCTTGGTAGTTCGTGGTTAGATGTTGTCAAATGTATCTCACAATTAGAATTAGCTCAACTTATTGGAACAGGAGTAAGACCGCAACTTTTGGGACCTCCATCGAAGCCTCATTTTCCATCTCCTCTGTTTACTAATTTGGCACACAATAACTCGTATCAAAATAACGGCCTTAATTTAAGTTCTTTAGATCGTAAGTATTCATTTTTTTTTTCAAAAAGGGTTAATACGTTGAATGCCACGTGAATTCTTACAGAAATCTCCGTCAGGCCACACGCGCTACTTAAAAGCACTGATATTGCGAAAATACGAAGCGCACTACTAACAGATTAATATTTACTCGATGCAAACATGTAAATATATTAGAATTTTTTTTTTTATTTCAGGACAACAGTTTTTATGTTTATCGTATTTCAATAAGATCCGTAAAAAAATGAATGATATAATCCTGTAATAAATAAATTTTTAGTAATTGCATAAAAAATTTCACATTTTTTAGTTTTATATCATATTTTATACTGTCAGGCACCGGTGCCTGACGCGTCTTGAAAAAAAAAGTTTTTCGTCAGGCAGTCGTACTTAACAATAATATTCTCCATATAAGCCGTGTCGGTGTCTGACGTTCAACTATTTTTATAATACAAAGTAACGCGCGTGGCCTGACGGGGATTTTCGTAAGAATTCACGTGCCGTTCAACGTGTTACCCAATAATTAAAACTTTATATAAAAACCATTTGCTCTCTTTACAGCAAGCGTGAAGGAATCCATAGGTGAAACAAGTTCTCAAAGTGTAGTTGTGGCTGTCGACAGAATATTCACTGGTTCTACTAGACTGGACGGAGATGCCATAGTTGCATTTGTAAAAGCACTTTGTCAAGTATCTTTAGAAGAATTATCACATCCTACACAACCCCGAATGTTCTCGTTGACGAAAATAGTTGAAATTTCTTATTATAACATGGGTCGTATAAGACTTCAATGGTCAAGAATATGGCAAGTTCTTGGCGACCACTTTGACAGAGTTGGTTGCAGTCCTCGACAAGAAATAGCATTTTTTGCGGTGGATTCTCTCAGGCAGTTGGCTACGAAGTTTATAGAGAAAGGCGAATTTGCTAATTTTAGATTCCAAAAGGATTTTCTTAGGCCATTCGAACATATTATGAAGAAGAATAGATCTCCAATTATCAGAGATATGGTCGTTCGATGCGTAGCACAAATCGTTCATTCTCAAGCTCCAAATATTAGATCTGGATGGAAAAATATATTTAGCGTTTTTCATCACGCAGCAAGTGATCGTGATGAGTCTGTAGTCGAATTAGCCTTCTCCATGACAGGGAAGATAATAAGTAAGTACTATTTATAATAATTCATTGTATTGATTACCAGAACATTATTGTCTTATTTTCTAACATAAATTGTATTTTTGTTGTTTCTTAGATGAGCTCTACGCCGAAGATTTTAGTATTATGGTTGACTCCTTCCAAGATGCCGTAAAGTGCCTAAGTGAATTTGCGTGCAATGCTTCGTTTCCAGATACTAGCATGGAAGCAATTAGACTCATGAGATCTTGCGCATCTTATATCGTTGCTAATCCTAATCTATTTGCCGAGGGTATGATGGATGATAGTGGAATAGTTTCAGAAGAAGACAGAGCATGGGTATATAAAAAAACAAATATATTTTAATTAAAACAAAAAAAATATATATAAAATTGATTTAAATATAAAATTTGTTGTAATGATAATCTATTTAGGTGAGAGGATGGTTCCCGTTACTTTTCGAACTATCATGTGTTGTAAGTAGATGTAAATTGGATGTGAGAACACGGGCATTAACTGTTTTATTTGATGTTGTCAAAACTCATGGAGCATCATTTAAACCACACTGGTGGAAAGATCTATTTCAAGTGCTCTTTCGGATATTCGATAATATGAAACTTCCAGAACAGCATACAGAGGTTTGTACGATAACGTCAATTATAATTATGAATTTCAACTTATTCGAATTTTATAAAAATAAAATTAATCTTACAGAAGGCTGAATGGATGACAACGACATGTAATCACGCTCTTTATGCTATTGTTGATGTATTCTCTCAATTTTATGACACGCTAGGTCCACTTTTATTGGGTCAATTGTATTCTCAATTACTATGGTGCGTTCAACAGGATAACGAACAGCTCGCTAGGTCAGGTACTAATTGTTTAGAAAATTTAGTTATTAGTAATGGAATTAAATTTGACGAGGAGACATGGGATAATACGTGTCGTTGCATACTCGATATATTTGAAAGTACATTACCAACAGCTTTAATTACTTGGAAACCACCATCACCGAATAACGAAAATGCAAAGTACAAGTTATTTTCAGCTTTATTAATTAAATGTGTGGTACAATTGGAATTGATTCAAACTATAGATAACGTAGTATTTTATCCAGCAACATCGAGAAAAGAAGATCAAGAGAATCTTGCTTTAGCGCAAGCCGACATGCTCAATGGAAAACCTTCTGAATTAGGAGTTCAAGGTGGAGGAGATCAACAGAAGGAAGAGCAAGGAATGTATTGTTCGTTAACGACTAAACATCTTTTACAATTGGTTGGATGTTTATTAAAGTCACATCGTTTTGCTAAAACTTTCAATTCCAATGACGAGCAACGCCAACTTTGGAAATCTGGTTTTTATTGCAGTATGAAATCCGAAACTGGTCTATTGAATCAAGAAATACAATCTCTGGCGTGTGCTCTTCGTATTCTTTTTAAAATGTATAGCGACGAGGCTCATAGAAACGATTGGGCTACAGTAGAAACGCTTCTAGTCGAAGTAGCTTGTGAGGCATTAGAATATTTCCTTGCTCTTTCTAACGAGATGCACATTGATGCGTGGACACCTATACTTCTTTTACTTTTAACAAGGATTCTTAAAATGAGTGATAGTCGATTTGCCGTACACGCATCTAGTTGTTATCCTCTGCTTTGCGAAGTCATGTGTTTTGATCTTAAACCAGAATTGCGTTCGGTTCTTCGTAGGTTTTTCTTAAGGATCGGACCGGTATTTAGAATTACGCAACAGTAGCATTGTAATGTAATTTATTTCTTGTAAATCGTACTCACTCTCTCTCTTTTTTTTCTTTCATGATGTACTTTATATATAAAAAAAAGAAAAAAAAAGAAAAAAAATCGGGAAAAGAAAAAAACAACCATGTATTATTTTACATTACGCGTATACATATATACATATTATACATAGTCATTGAGTAGCCATATAAGTATTTACTATGAACAGTTATGAAATAGTAAAGAGTAGTAGTTTATCATTTTCAAAGTAATACTTACAAATTGAGTATGATTATAATAAGTAGTAAAAAAAAAACACATGCAGATTATACATAAATAAAAAATGTCTACAATTTGTGTATCATATTCTCGGGAAGCATATATATATATATATATATATATATATATATATATGTATATTTATGCTTATAATTATTTATGTCGACTTGGTCACTCCATCTTATTCAAATAAATTAGATAGAAAGTATGTTTTATTTCAGTACATTTAATGAAATTTCCAACGTGCCATAACACATTATTTCTTTATTCTTAATAAGGTTAAGTTGAGACAATGCGTCACATTGATCTTGAATAAATACAATATATTTGTGTAAACATTTCGGATTTAAGGTACTCAATGCTATTAAGATTTGGTCCCATGGAATGTTTTTCTTTTAAAAATTTCTAAAATATTTTGTCGTTGATATGACATTGATTTTTTAATTTTGTTAACCTTTGACCAGAAAGTACCACCAAAAGTATAGTTTGTGAACAAATACAAATATTTTCTTCGTAGACACATATACTTGTAAGGCTAATACTATCTGATGTTTTTTTTTTTTTTTTCAAATTCTTATTCAGTTATCATATTAATTATGCTTTCTTCTCAGTCTTCTTGGGTAATAAAACAGCTTGAATGTTTGGTAAAACTCCGCCTTGAGCGATAGTAACACCAGACAACAATTTGTTCAATTCTTCGTCGTTGCGAATGGCCAATTGCAAATGTCTTGGAATAATTCGCGTCTTTTTGTTATCGCGTGCAGCATTGCCAGCCAATTCCAAAACCTCAGCAGCAAGATACTCCATTACTGCAGCTAAGTAAACTGGTGCTCCGGCACCAACGCGTTCAGCGTAATTACCTTTTCTCAACAAACGATGAATACGACCAACTGGAAATTGTAATCCAGCTCTGTTCGAACGAGATTTTGCCTTACCCTTCACTTTACCGCCTTTACCACGTCCTGACATTTTTTAAAATTCAAGCTCTAAGTTTACTAGAAAATTAAATAAGCTTCTACGTTGGCAACTAGTAGAATAACAAAAATGATGGAAAAATTAAGGTATTTATGTATTCCCCTCTCCCCTACTCTTTAAGCACGAATAGCACCACGCCAAACGATGCTACGTTTTGATTGGTCTGTTTCAATACTTCCTACATATATCAAAAAGACGCATAAAAAAATGTTCTGTTTGTTTCGTTTGAGTCATTTTAAATAGTCTAATATTTGTCTTTTACAAAGAAAAGAATATATTTTTCTACTATGGCACTAAGAGAAAGTGGCGGCAAAGTTGGTGTTAAAATGATAATAAAGACCAGTAAAGCTCAGAAGAATACAGTAGGTAAAGCCGATAATAAGAAAAAGAAGAGAAAAGAAAGTTAAGCTCTATATATTTACAAAGTATCAAAACAAATACACCCGGACATCGGAATCTCGAGTAAAGCTATGGGAATTATGAACAGTTTCGTTAATGATATCTTCGGACATTTTGCTGCCGAATCCACGACATTGGCTCAATATACCGAACGTTCAACTATTACATCTCGTGAAGTACTATCTGCTGTAAGATTAATATTTCCTGGTGATCTCTCCAAACACGCTGTTAGCGCGAAGGGACTAAAGCTCTTGCTAAATACATGAATAGCAAATTAAACTGATTCAATATTCCAAGTAATTAAGATTTAATTATACTTAAATATATGTATATATTTAATTATCTACATGTTGTATCAATTTAGTATTACTGTGTAACTAATTGCATATAAATTGTTTTACTTACATTAGTCTTTTTTCATTATTTTAATAAATAATTATAAGATTAATGAAATATTTTCTAAATGGTGCAACATTGTAAGAAAATATCTAAAAATCATTATTATCAACATCGATCAGTAAGAATATTACTAGTTTTGTATTATATTAACCCTTTTATATTACTAGCGATATATGGGTCATCCATGAAAAGGGTCCTACCGATTCATATAGGGGTCGTACCATGTGACGATACAAACGAATTTATATACAACGATACTCGCGCCAAACCACGTTGTAACTAAAGGATTAATATAGTATTATGATCAAGTTTTAAGTTACCGACTGAGTCATTGCTCAAAATTATACATTATAGATCAAAGATAGAGAAATTGTTGTTACTAGTAATGAATTAGTTTTCCGTTATATGTAATCAAATATTTCAAAAATAATATCGTTTATTTTTGTATCTCTCTAAAAATAGTACAGGGATTTTTTTCTATATATTTTCGTAACTAATTAACTAGAAGGAAAAATAGTCTTTCGAAATCCATTCCATTTCTGTTTTCTGTTTTCGATAATACTACAAGTATGATCACGCGTGTGCATGCTTCTTTCACATGTGTACTCATACATATATCTACTAGGAAGACTTTCGCCGTCACAGAAAGACGTGAGTCGTCGCGATGTTACAAACCAGCTGCGTCTCAGCTGTTTTCTATCTTTTCTCTTTCAACCATCTTTTTTCTTACCCCGGCGTTCTTCTGGACATTTGGATATAAAATGCTAAGCAAACGTGAAAGAGAGAGAGAGAGAGACTCGAAACTACACAGAGATTTGATTTTACGAGAAAAATCAAATCCCATGTTTGTTTTCTGTTCGAAACGTTGTCCCGTCTTTTTTCTTTTTTTTTTTGTCAATGTGTATGAAAGTATTGTTCGTTTTTTTGATTCTCGTAGATTCGATTTTATGTTTAAATTTCATTAGACACTAGGTTTATTGTTATATGGGATTAGTCTTTATCTTCAGTATTTTTTGAGCTTTCATTTCGAAAAAGTAACTAAAATTTCATGGTCTATTGTTACCTCTGTTTCAGGAATTTTTGATGAATCCTTGAGTCCTAAAAAATTAGACAATAAATTGAATAAACTTTACTTCAACACAGATTTTACGATCAAAACGATTCAGATATCTCTTCAGTCTATTTTTCACAAATTTTTCACAAATAAAGAATCTTTCTCTTTTCCTTTTTTCTTTGTTACGGTCAGGTTCCATTTACGCAAAAATCCGAAGAAAAAGAAAGAATGTTAAGAAAAAATACTTTTATTTTTATATCGTTTGATGATCATCAAATGAAATTTTCGTTTTTCTTATTTTAATTCTAATTATACATTTTTAATCAATGTTACAATGATACCGTAAGAAGCTTATTGTTCATTTTACGATAACTAGCTAACTTTGGATATTATTCAACTTTTCGACAGGAAGCACGTTCTTCGGTATAGAAATATATTTCACAGGGCAGGAATAGGATTGTGTGGCAAGGACGAGAAACTGGGTATCGAATAGAACAGGTGAACCGGATAAGCTTAAACAGCTGTTTCCGCGCTTTATCCTAACTCCAATTCAGTCAGCTATCTTCTTCCTCCTCCAATGTATTGCACTCAAGTCTCTTTATTCCTTTTTACCCGTTTCCTCATGTCCTTTATCCTACGGATCTCACTCGCACGTGATCTTTCATCACGTACAACTTGATATTTTGCAAATTTATGAATTTTCACGGAATTTTGTTATCTTATTTATATATAATATTATTATATAATATATTAAATTAAAATATGAAAATAAGATTGCTTTGTAATAAAAAAAAAAAAAAAAATAGTACACAAAATATTTTCTATACATAAATAAATAAAATAATAGTATATGTTCGTGTAAGTTTGAATGATGCGTGTGCGTGTCGGTATATACGTATGCATGTACATGGATAAAAAAAATAGAGTGAGAGGTAGAGAGGGAGAGAGGGAGAGAGAGAGAAAAGGAGGGGTAGAAAAGCTGGAACGTTTACCGACGATGCAAAGTAATACAAGAGCACGCTTCGAGCACGCCCGTTAAACTCGATGGAGAGTGTCACCGGCAGCACTCCGGATTGAACTTTTCCAAGTGCTTCACAGTCCGGCTAAAGAAGTCGTCGACGAGGTTTTAACTGTAGAACCGAGGCACTACTGAGCTTGTACTGAGGAAAGAGACTGACAGCAAGAGAGAGGAAGAAAGAGGGAGAGAAAGAGAAAAACTTCGAGGAGACCACGCGACGAGCTTATTTTCTACAAACTTACTTATTGCTTTTTTTTCGACGAAATGAAAATGAATGTACAATATATATTATTATTATCTCAACTATCTTTTCGATATACTATTATTGACCTTGGTTATGAACAACAAATTTATACTAAAATTTTTTTTCAATTATTATTATTATTATTTTTCTTAGCATATTTTATATTAGCATATCGGTTTATTCTAGTTAGCATTTAATTTTCTTATAACATATTTTACTTAGCATATTATATTAATCAATGATTGAACGAAAGAGAAAGAGAGAAAGAATCATTCAATAATTATAGAAAAATTCAGGAACGGGTTCGAGAATCAAAATTTTACTCGTCCCGTTGCACAAATTGCAGACACCTTAACGAGATTAAAGTGCACAATTTTTCGCAGTTAAGATTATATCTTTTATATCTTTAATAAATTTTTATTATTAATTTATTATAAATTTTTGTAGAAAAATTAAATCCAAAGTTCGATTTGCGATGTTATCTCATATTTAACATAAACATTGAATCATATTTGCTATTTTTTGAATTTAATTAAACTTTAATTAAATGATACTTTCTCTGAACACGTCATTAGAATATAATTGAAATATTATAAAAGGGTATTTTTTTTTTTTATCTTTTCCTCGCTCATAATGAACACGTGCTATCTTTTGTAACCGAATAAAATATGATTGTAAGTTCAAAGATATTTTCTATAAATAAGATTATAATTATAGCTTAAAGTTCTAAAAATCAAATTCCATTAGTACGTTATTTGCATTAAACATTCGATCAAACATTAGATTTTTCCAAAATTCATTTCATTCAAAATCTTCTTTATTTATTTCCCATTACTTCTACTGTTAAATGCGATTTATGAAAAAAATCTCTCATTTTCAACGTAAAAATATTAATAAAGTTTTTTATAGGATTTTAGGAAATTTTATAGAATTAATTATAATTTCTTTTTTATTTCACATTATTTTATATTATCATAATAGGTATAATTAAAAACGATAAAAATCGTTAAGTAGTAATTCATTTTTGAATAAGAAAAAAGATATATATATATATATATATTTCGTAAGATATAGATCATAGAAAATTTCTTAGGGATTTTCCCGTAGTGGCGATGACGATTTACACGAGTACAAAAGCGATATATCCGTAAAAGCACTGCAAAATCAACTGATATGCCTCTCTCTCTCTCTCTCTCTCTCTCTCTCTTTCTCTCTTTCTCTCTTTTGCTCGCGATAGGAGTGACTTCGTGCTATTGACATCCGCTCCTCGTGGTATCGACATCCCGGTACAAGCTCGTACCGAGAGCACGATTTCGCGTCACTTTCAGAGAAAGAGAGAGATAGACAGAAAGAGAGAGAGAGAAGAGGGTGGGATGGGGCGAGGGGTAGGGGGGGTGGAAAAGGCTCTGTAGACCATGGGCCACCCAACCGACGTTGTAATTTTCGCACTCGTGAAAATTACACCGACTATCGCCGCCGATAAGTCGTAAATTAGCAGTGCATTCGATTCCCGGAGTTGAACGTGTAAAACGGCCATTGGGGGATTCTCCTGCGATTGACGCCATCATCAACGAACGAAAGTTACGACGACGAGAAGCAGATTCGAAATAAATTGGAATTAGCAGAGCCGCGAATCCGATCGTGGTTCCTCGTTAACATCGACGTGACCCCCTTCTCCTCGGATGATCTATGCTTTGATGAAAATTCAGCTGAAAATAATATATATTTCGGTTTGAGTTCTTTATTCTTCTCCTTTTTTTATTTTTTGGGGATATTTTGATTTATTTTTTATCCGTATAATTTTTATAATTCTACACAACATCTTTTTCAAGATCGTAAAATCGTTCTTATATATAAGAATATTAAATATTATAATAAATCATTTAAATGTTACAAGTTTTAACTTTCCGTAAGATTTAATTTAACTTATTTATTTATTTACAGGATAAGCCTATTAATATAGAAATTTTACACAAAAAAGGTCAAGTAAAAAAGATTAAAAAAAAAATAATAAAGATATTTACAGAAAATATTTCATAATATTTGACAGTATATAAAGACAGATTAAATAAATCTATGTATCTATAAAAATAATTAACAAATTGAGATATTCTATTAATACAGTTAAAGTAGCTCTAAAAGATACGTGAAACAATTCTGTTAAAATGTGATTTAAAAGAAAGATCAGACAAGAATATAAATCATTAGTAAATCATTAGCAGAGTCTATTAAAGGTATTAAATACCTTCCGTTTATTTTGAAAGTGGCCTAAGTCCATTTTTTAAGAAGATCGAGTTACCTACCGTAATAGTTACATTTTTACATGATCTTTTCATTCTGAGAGAAGATACTTATTACTAATATATTTAAATTCATTAAAATTTGGTAACATGAACATTTGCTGGTTAATGAACTTATGAAAAAGTTTATTTTGGAAGTGGCCTAATTGTAAGTTCATTTATATTTAAATTAAGATACTTATTATATATTCGGATAATGTCCGAAAGCAGTGATTTAGGTAATTTTAATTAATTACTATTTAACAAATTAACCTTAGTTTTTTACAATTGTTTTAGTTGAATAGTCAGTACGTTTAAGTATCTTAAATTAAGTTGAATGA